GGTGAACCTTTTGAGCTCGGCGTGTCAGCATTTTGAAAAACCCTAACTTAACTCTGGTGCCATGTCACATATAGAAATTTTTTGAATTTGAAACCATAGTAAAACAAAGACTTATATTTTTGATATTTATTTTATATATTTAAATACCATTTAACAAAGAAAAATCAACCAAAAAAATGAGTTCGCGTGTCACCTCTGACATGCGTGTCATAGGTTCGCCATCACTGGGCTAGTGTCACTGAGCTGTGCCTTAGGATGGATACATTAACTGGGCCATCATGGTCGAAAAAGCAGATCCATGGGATTCACTTGCTGATTCTGAACCCGTATCTGTCCTTGTTTTGCCTTAACCATGACATACTTCCATTTGGCAATCTTTGAAACACAGTTGTCTCTAAGTGATTTTATATCACACACAAGTTCACCTCTCTGTCCTTGCCACCTCATCACCAAGGAAACCAGCATCAATTAGTCTTCCCAGTGAAGCCACACCATCTTCAGTGTTTTCATAACTCTGGCTGGAGATTATACCAGTAAAACTAGCCCAGAGTAATTCTCCAGGTGAGTCACGGCATTTCCTGTTGCACTTTTAGACAAAAAAGAAAAAAGAAAAAAAGAAAAAGAGGTGGATCTTTTAAGTAAGAGAATTTGGCCTTCTGGGGAAGATAATGCTGGTAGATAGTTTTTCAAAACTGAGGAAGTGTCATAAAGAGATGCAACAATTCTTTATCAGAGTCTGCTAATACATCACCGTCCTGGAAGTTTACTAGGACTAGTTCTAGTGCCTGGCAGCGACTTTATTTTAGGACTAGAGGTCTGGTGCACAAAATTCATGCATAGGTGGTGTCCCTTCACCTGGGTGGTGATTGGGGTCAATCAGGGGCATCTTGCCCAGTCCTGATCAAGGCTGTGGCTACGGAGGCACTGAGGGAGGGCCCCAGGGCGTGTCCGGCCCCATCTTGCCCAGTCCTGATTGGCTGGACCCAGGAGCAAGCTAACCTACCAGTCGGAGCATCGGCCCCCTGGTAGTCAGTGCACGTCATAGTGGCCAGTCAGTTGACCGGTCAGTGGGACACTTAGCATATGAGGCTTTTATATCTATAGACTAGTGTCATAGAATCAATGGAGACCTGAAAGGTTCCCATGCAGTAAGACCAATGTTAGAACTCTATAAAAGTTAAATTATTTATCACAACCTGTAACGTATTTTGGTTTCCCATTTTTGCAAGTGTGAGGAGGAAAGAATAGTTTGAACAGTTCTATTAAATACAAATACCATGAAAATGAGATTCATTGAAGTCAGCACATTAATCTTATTCAAGTCTGGTAAAATTGAACCACATTAACACACATATTGATATTAACTTACCTCTGTGCTGGTCAGGTTTTTGTCTGGTCCAGATAAGTATGGGATAAGGAAAGGTTCTGAGGGTCTCATCATGGAGAAAAACCCAAATAAGCAGAGGATGACAGTGGGATAAATCCAGGAATGGCTCGGTGAAGTTTGGAAACAGTCCATGGCTGATGAAATGGAAACAGAGCCAATGTTAATTGATGTTTATTCTTTTTGGCTTCTTGGGAATAATGAAAAACTGATTATCTCCAAATGTTTTATGGCAGTTTCTCCATCTGTAGCTGAAATAGAAAGGTGTGATGAATAACTGCTCTCAAATATTCCGTAGGTTAACCAGTCAAACCCTCCGTTGCCAATAAACTTCTTTTTCACTATTGCTGGGGTAGTCACACTTCACTGCTCTTCATCACACACATGGTAATGAGTAGCCACTAATAAATAGTAAACAATGGGCCAATGAATGTTTGAAAATAAGTAAAACACTGTAACCACAGACATACAGAGAACAGTCGGGGGCGGGGGAGATTAATTCATCAGCAAATGTTTCATGAAAGTAAAAACGAATGATGGCATATATGATAAAATGGAACCAGAAGCATGTACATATTTTGAAGATCACTTGTATCTACTCTTTCAGTGGTTTTGACCAAGGAATTCAACCTTTTTCATCTCATGGCAACATACTCCTAGGTAAGGTCAAACCCAAAAGAACATAGATTGAGTTGATGAAGCCCTCTATTAGACTCTGAAATCTTTAACACATTGTATGGCACATATTTACACATGATTCCCACTAGGGAACAAACCTGAAACCCAGGCGTGTGACCTGACTGGTAATGGAACCCGCAACCCTTTGGTACACTGGACGATGCTCAACCTACTGAGCCACTCAGGCCAACTGCAAGAATTCTTAAAACATATAATACGTCACTATTTATTCAGGGGCACTGACCTCGTTTCCCTTAGACTGTCAAATAAAAAAAAATGACAATAGCCAACACAATAGCCGTCCAGTGTAAATGAATCCAAAGTATACCTATCTTTTTTGTCAGATTGGCAAAAAAAATATATTTTTTGTGTGCTGCAGATTTTAGAAATTAGTTTATGTGTGCCATGAGATGCGCAGATTTTAGAAAGTAGTTTATGTGTGCCATGAGATGAAAAAGATTGAAATTCCCCGTCCAAAACCATTGAAAGAGTAGATTCAAGTGATCTTCAAAATATGTACACTAAGCATGGCAAACTTGCAGCCCATGGGCTGCATGTCTTGTTTATTTGGCCCGTGCTACCCTTTGAGTTTGACATGCTTGATGTACACGCTTCTGATTCCATTTTATCATACATCCCATCATTCTTTTTGACTTTCATGAAACATTTGCTGGTGAATTAACCACTCCTCCCAGATTATTTATTTTCTGTACGTCTATGGTTTCATCACTTGAGTCTCAGGTGAGCCAGGAGGGATATTTCTAGCAAAACCACAGAACCAGGGGACAACCTAGATAGAAAGCCACCTCACCACATCGCACCACTGAAATGTGCTGTGGTAACTGGTCAAGTGCACATGGAGGGGTGAGAACAAATTTGTCCTTCACGGAAAAACTATGCATTATTTGAGCTCTTTTACAACTTTGTTAGTTGCATTAATTGATAAGAATGTGACGTCATTCTTATCTCTGGCCATGCAAATGAGTTATAACCAAGGAAGCAACAACCTCTTCCCCTCTCCCACCTGGAAAACCAGTTTTGCCTGCATTTCAGTATTCCTGATCTATACATCTACCGTTCTTTGGATTCTTCTTTGACCTGGTTGGAATATCCTTACCAGCTTTCTGAATAATGAGTTAATAAAACCTTTAATACATGCTCATTTTTTTAAAAGCTTTCTTTTTTGTTGAAAGTATTACAGATGTTCCTGTCCCCCGCCCCATGACCCTCTCTGCCCTGCTTGTGTTCATTTTTATATCTGTTTGAGACTCCTCACTTTATTCTTTCCCAGAATTTTCTTTCAATGCCTGTTACCATTCACCATGCCTCAGCCTATCCAAATAACCTCCAATTTGTTCCTCTTGAATCTAAATGATTTGCTAATCGTTGTTAAATCCCCAAATTAGTCTTAATATTTTGACATCTCACTGCAGACCTTCCCAGATTTAGGCTTGTTTTTTTTCCCTCCAGGCTTGGGCTTTCCATGGACAATGTGGCCCCATGGGAAGAGCATGACTTTGGAGTTTCAAGTCCATGTTCCTCTTGCCCCACCCCTGTTTGTGACAGGTACTTAACCTCTCCAGGCCTCCCTTTAAAAGGTGGATAATTACACCCATCCCACACAGTTTTCTCAGGGACTGTTCCGCCTGGTTCCTGGCACGCATTATGGTTCAGTACAGCCGCCTTCTCACCACCCTCATTAAGCACACGTGGCAGATTCAACCAGAAAGAAAACAGCTGGGCGCTCACAGTTCAGACAGTAACTTCAGAAAGGTAAACAATTCACGGTTCATAATTTCACCTAAACCGCTAAGGGACAACGGGCCAGGTACATTGATCTTTTGATATTCATGCTTGAATTGCATTTACCATTCCCCACCCTTAAATCACTATTGCTGGTCTATAACCAATAATGCCTGAACCAATTTCGCGGTTTTGTCCATTTCAGCTACTCTTCAGACAGTTGGAAGAAAAACATATCGGAATTTAGTCGTGTTTTGCTCTATTTAAAACACATACCTTGTTGAAAACACACCTCCCATCTTTAGGAGACACTAATGTGCTCAGATATATGTAGGAGTGTTTTTAGAAGATTGTTCCTTTCACCCTTTCCTTTCCGTCCTGTAAGCACCAGACAAGCCAAACCTATTGCATCTGAACAACAGCAACACCAACTTGCTCTACACCTACCTAATTTGATGACCTTTCTCTTAGTTTCAATGAAAGGAGTTCTCCGTGGAACCCAGGTCTCTAACCTTCAAAGCGCCCTTTCTTTTCCGCACTCGGGACCTTTTGGCTCGTTTTAGATGGGAATTTGCAATCCCAGTGCCTGGGATGCTGGCTCTTCACCAGAATCCTGGCTGTGATTAACCTGCCTTTCCTGAAGGCAGAAGGTGACCTACTGGGGCGATGCGCGCCGCGCTGGAGGGGAGCTCCCAGCGGCGGGAGGAGGCTCGCGAGCGCGTCCAGACCTGTCCCAACCCGCCGCCACTGCGCGCCCGAAACTGGGGAACGGGGAGTGCTGTGGCCCAGCGATCATGCATTTCTTCCACGAATTCACCTCCCGGGGTCTCTCTTACCTGCGGAAGGGCGTTTCTGCTCGTCAAATCGCTCACATCCTTGGATAACCAGGCCCGGGGGACCACGACCTTCAGCCATCCCCGCGCGGGAAGCCACGCGCTGGAGGCCGGGGTGGGGGCAGGACCCAGCCTGAGACCCCGCCCAACGTCTGGTACCTGCCAGTTACAGGCGCCCAGAGCGTTCAACTGGAGGCGGGAATCCGCAGTCTATGGGCAGACACCAACTGCAGACCTTAAAGTAAGGAAGGACTTAAAGTAATATACTGATACCAGTATCAACGTGAGGAAGCAGGATGAACTGAATGCAAAGTCGATCTGTTTATACATGGCAGTTCCTATAAATCCATTTATTTCTCTCAAAAATTTCTGAGAGACACAGCTTTGATCCCCACTCTGCACATGAAAAAACGAAGGCAGAAAGAGGTAAGGTTAATAGAGAAGCCTGGATTTGTTGTGGTTACTGGGGCATCCTGAATCCGTTGCCAATGTTTATAATCACTAGGTATTTTTTTTCTTTAGGTAGTGGGGTGGGGGTGGTTTCCTAGCACTTTGAGAATTTTCTAGTACAAATAGTTCATATATTAAATACTTTTTTTTAAAATCAAGAGAGGTTTAAAAAAGCATTATAAGGTTCTCATTGGTTAAAGCGGAATTTAAAAAAAAATTGTTGAGCTGTTGGTGGAAATGAAAAACCCTCCCCAAGATAAACACTGCTTGGTTTCTAAGGGCTGCTAGTGGGAATGAAATTGATTACAATTCCTCCAGCTGTCCTGGGTCCCTGTCCTACTGGTTTGGATTTTCTATTCTCACCCTCCTATGATTTTCGGGAATCTGCCTATAAAGTACCATGATGCACTTCGAGAGTCGGAATACCCTGTGCACAGTGGGACAGATGCCCTTATGAATTTCAGGGCCCTCCCAAAGAACACTGTGACTTTTTTTTAAAGGTTGAGGGTGTCATGATTTCCTCCACACCACTCCCCAAGAAAGGACCTCATTTGGACCTTGAGAAGTTACTTTTGTGTTTCTTTGCTATCTCGTAGAGTCGTAGACAGTCTAAAGTCCAGTGATTCTCAACCTTCTGGCCCTTTAAATACAGTTCCTCATGTTGTGACCCAACCATAAAATTATTTTCGTTGCCACTTCATAACTGTAATGTTGCTACTGTTATGAATCGTCATGTAAATATCTGATATGCAGGATGGTCTTAGGCAGCCCCTGTGAAAGGGTCGTTCGACCGCCAAAGGGGTCGCGACCTACAGGTTGAGAACCACTGGCTCTAAACCAAAGAAAGATGATGAGGAATTCATCAATTCATAGAAAAGTAAACATATTTGCTGATGAGTTGACATGAGGTCTAAATTTGGTTCCACATGACCCAGAGGTGGGTTCACAGATGACCAGAGATGAGCCATGTGTTGATAATTGTTGGCTTGGGTGATGGTTCTTAGGAATTTATTGTACTATTCTCCACTTTTGTGTACGCTTGGCATTTTCTATAATTAAGAATTTTAAAATAATCTATTCACTAATGCCCTATTTATTGAGTACGGTACTGGTGCCAGGTGCTGTTCTAGGTCCTTGAGATACATCAGTGAACAGAGAGTTAGAAATCTTTGCTTTGTAGAATGTATTTTCCAGTTGGACATGGGGTGAGGCAGAGGGAACCCTGTAGAGTAAACATGATAAATTCATGGATTTTATGGCATGTTAGAAAGTGTTACGTGCTATGTAAAAGGAAGAAAAAATGACAGGGATCAGATGAGGATGTAGAACGATGGAGAAGAGGGCTAGGGTCTGTGCCTTGGGGCGTCAGTCTTGGGAAAGAACCTACAGGTGAGGCTGGAGAGGAGTAGCAGTGAGGGGCAAAGGGAGGTGAGGGACTTATGAGGAAGGAGGAAGGAAATGGGTTGAGGTAGGAGAAGGGAGTGGTTGGTCAGATGTGTCAAATGCTGCTGGGAGGCCAAATGAAAAGCCCTGTGGAAAGTGTACACTTTTCACTTGGTCAACTTACCCAGAAAATGGATTGAGAACCTCTTATGTTGGTACTTAATAATCTGATTGCAACAATGTACAAAAATCCTTGATGTAGGAGTGGGTCAAGTTGACCAGACAAAAACAATCTGACATGGGAAACTGTATTGTAATCGCCTCCTTCTCAGAGGTCAAGCCTTTGAAACAAAAGATTTCTAGTGCTTGGCTGAGTACCTGGCCTAATGTAGCACTCACCTATTTGCTGAATGAATAAGTGAACCACTACATGGAATGCTGGAGTAAAGCTAGGGGCAGTCAGCACTTCTTACAACCAGAATTCGGTTGCAGACATAGATGTCATGAAAGTGTGTGTAAAGCACAGGAATTTGCCTCAATGACACTGACGACCAAATGTAAAACCCAGTATAAGGCAGTGTAGGACCAATCATTTGTTAGCTGAAACCTATCCCAAGTCTTTAAATATCACCCTTCATCTTTTGTTCTGTTGTTCTTTCTCATTGGAGGGTATACATCTTCTAGAACAGACACACATTGGAATAGAAAAGTTTATTTTTTATTTTTTATTAAGGAAGAGTTGCTTTTTTTGAGAGACAAATGGGAAAAAATAGTGGGTATACAATACAAAAGAACAAAAAAGTTCATCATAAATAAATTTTTCAATAAAATAAAATATTAGCTACCATGACTTCATTTTGTTAAACTCATAAATAGATTTTTTGATGTGGGTGTCTGGGTTCCCAACCCCTAATGTTGATAATATATGGTGGTATTTTATCTTTTTTTCCCAAATGGAGACAAGATTCCAAAGATGACAGAGAATAAATACTCCTTGATGCTAAGTTCTGGAAGATACTGGGAGAAGAAGTTGATGTCATCATGATGTCAGGCTGAAGGGAAACAACCAGCCCTGTACAGCCAGAGTGCAGGGGACAGAATGAGCAATTCCAAAGCATGGAGTACACAGGACTGGAGGAAGCAGGTGGAGGGAAGGAGGAAAGTCTTACCAAATTCCATGAGCAAAGCCACAGGAAACTTACCCTAGAGTAAAAGGCTACTGCCTAGCAGCAGCATTGCTTCTGGCAGCAGCACTTACTCTGGCAGCACTTCTGCTGACAGCAGCCCTCCCCGCAGCCGCAGCCACAGCCGCAGGAGCCACAGCCACAGGAGCGGCGGCAGCAGCAGACCACGGGGACGCTGCAGCAGCCCCCACAGCAGCCACGGCAGCAGGGGCAGCAGCCAGAGCAGCAGCCGACCCGGTAGCATCTACAGGTGGTGCAGCCACCGCAGCCACCACAGCCACCACCACAACCACCACAGCCACCACCGCAGCCGCCACAACCACCGCAGCCACCACAGCGGCCACCACAGCCACCACAGCGGCCACCACAGCCACAGCACCCCATGGTATCAGCAGAGAGGACTCAGGTGAAGTGAGGAGAGAGACTTAGGAGATGAGAGACGTCTGATACACTTTGCTTCGGGGGCCCTTATATACCCCCTTGGGGCCGAACTCAGGGCACGTGGCCACTTCCTGATTGTAGTTCACCGGCTTTCCTTGGAGAATTTCACAAGACCCTGAGTGTATTTCCTCACGGACACCTCTGAGCTCACAGACTTGTTTATTTTTGTACTTCTTCCTCAAGTTACTCTTCTAGTAAAACATGTTTCTAAAATGTTTAATCTTGTTTGAACCTATCTGTCTTCAGGTCCCAAGCCATGGTCCCTCTGTGACTCAGTGTCTTTAGTTTAGGATAAATAATGTCTATTTTTTAAAAGCAGACTATATTTTTTAGAGCAGTTTCAGGCTCATGGCAAAATAGTGCTGAAAGTACAGAGTTTCCATAGGGTCCTTGTCCCCCTGTTCACAGCCTCCCCGCTATCAGCCCCTGCATCGCAGCAGTGCAGTTGTGACAATCAATGAGCCTATGTTGACATGTCATTATCACCCCAAATTCTGTTTTTTTTAATGCCTTCATGTTACCGGATCACAGCCCTTTGTCTGTGTTCACAATCAGACTGTGAGCTTCCTAAAGTCTGGGGTTGTATTGTATGTGTATTTTCATCCCAGGATCAGGAACACAGAGGTGAGTTGACAAAGAGGTTGATGAGTGAATGTTTGTGCCCTCAACCCCCAGTTCATATGCTGAATCTTAAGCGGATTTTAATGGGGGTCTATTTTACCTCCTGGGAACAGTTGGGTTGTCATAATTGGGAGAGTGGCCATAGCTAATGGGTGGAAGCCAGGGGTTGTTCGACATCCTACCATGCACAGGACATCCCCACAACAAGCATCTGTCTGGCTCCAGCCATCAGTGGTGCCAAAGTCGAGAAACACTGCTGTAGGGCTTTAACTTCCAAAGCATTTTCCCATTTATTATTTCAATACCATAGAGTTTCCAGAGACTCATCTACAAGAAAATTATTCCTCCCTCACTTAATTAATAAAGAAGCATGAAGCCTGGCGTGTATGAAGTTCTGTGCTGGCAAGTCCCGTAATGGCTCATTGGTGCCTTTGTTTGGCCTGTGATTTAGAACAGGAACTAAGGCCGGATCAGGGCCACGTATATCAGAACATGTGAGACTGCGATGTGGGTCATGTCTGCTGATACCAACGGTTTTGAGTGTTAATGAACAATATATATCTACACAGTTAAATAATTCCAGTCCCCCCTCCCAGACGCCTCACCCTCTAGGCCACTCTGCAGAGGCATATTGTCATCTTGCCAGCTGTTTCTGCTGAGAGCTGACCCCATATTTCTTGTTCATTCCTTCTTTTTATGGCTGCTGCTTGATTGCCAATGCTAGTTTTTGTTATAGACTAGAGACCCGATGCAAGAAATTTGTGCATGGGTAGGGTCTCTAGGCCTGGCCAGCGATCGGGGCCGATATGTGGGGCAACCGGTGGGGTGATGGGGGGGGGGCTGCTGGCACCTGCCTTGGCCTGGTGCTGCCCCCTTGCCAGCTGGCCCTGCCCCCAGATCCCCTGCCAGCTGCTGCTCACCTCCCTCTGTGGGGCGACCCACAGCTCCTGCATTAAGTGTCTGCCCCCTGGTGGTCAGTGAGCATCATAGCGACCGGTTGTTCCATTGGTTGTTCTGCTGTTTAGTCAATTTGCATATTAGGCTTTTATTATATGGGATGGGGATCTAACTCTCCCATACAACTCCCAATGTATTTATTCCACCATTTTTAGTAAAATCCATTACTGATGGTAACTTAATTATTTATATATATAAAAGCCTAATATGCTAAGTGCCCAACCCAGTGGTGGACCGACCAGTTGCTATGATATGCACTGACCACCAAGGGGCAGATGCTCCAACTGGTAGGTTAGCTTGCTGCTGGGGCCTGACCAATCAGGACTGGGTGAGATGGGCCGGACATGCCCTGGAGCCCACCCATGGTTCCTCTTGTGGTCCCTCCCCAGCCATCGGCCCTGATCGGCCCCAATTGGGACTGGGCAAGATGGCCCTGATTGGCCCTGCTGGCTGGCCAAGTGGAGGGACCCCACCCATGCATGAATTTCATGCACCAGGCCTCCAGTTATAATATAAACTAGTGGCCTGGTGCACGAAATTTGTGCACAGGGGAGGAGGGGCTGTCCCTTAGCACGGGATGGGGCGGGAAGTCTCCAATCTGGGACCCCTCTGGGGATGTCCAACTGCTCCAACTGTAGGTTAGCTTGCTGGTGGGGTCCGGCCAATCAGGACTGGGTGAGATGGGCCGGACATGCCCTGGAGCCCACCCATGGTTCCTCCTGTGGGCCCTCCCCAGCCAGCGGCCCCGATTGGCCCCAATTGGGACTGGGCAAGATGGCCCTGATTGGCCCTGTTGTCTGGCCAAGTGGAGGGACCCCACCCATGCATGAATTTCATGCACCAGGCCTCCAGTTGCCTCCTTCATGCGCGGCGGCAGAGACACTGGGATTGGCCTCCTCCACACTGTATGGAGCTGAGGGCCCCCAGGCCTCACCACATGGAGCTGCCGCCGGGCCCCACCTCCACTGTGCGTGTGGCCATCTTGTGGCAGCCATCTTGTGACGATGTCGAGCGTGAGGACTTTCATTAGTATAGATATAGACGTTGCTCATTATAGAGTCCAAATAGGCTACTGTGATTATACTTCCTTCATGTACAAACCTTTTATTTTTCTGGAATATCTTCCTTTTTATTTTTAATTTTTGCTTTTGCTTCATCTGTCTGCCATGGGGGCCATATTATTTTGCATGTATAGTTTTCTTTTTAAATATCAATTAATGAAAACTCTTCAAGCACTTTTTGTCTTTTTGTCTTTCTAATTAGGAAATGTCTTCTTATTTTAAATGCAATACAAAATGTGCCAGATAAAGATGAGTCATTGCAAAGACATGCTTTTGCTTTCTAAGCAATCACACAATGTGAGTGACACCAAATAATGTGTCCCAGTGACCCGCTTTGCAGCTGTGTAAGGCGGAATGAGACCTTCATTCCTATGAGCCAGCTCTGGTGAGGTATCAGGGCTGCTTCTGCCTGGGCCATGACATTGGAGCCTGGGGCCTCTTTCGTTCCTCCGTGTAAGAGGACCTCTGGGCTGCGCCCAGCCTGGCCTCCTGGTAATGCTTGCTTGTTGTTCAGTTGTCAGGCCACCGGTTCAAGCACAGCCTGCCATGCTATATGGGTCTTATTCGTGTGCCCATGACGTGGACAGTACCCCCCTTTCCGAGGCTCCCAGGGGCCCTTACTGGGATTTTTAAGTCATTTGACTTAGAAAAATAAACAAGTAGCCTAATAAACCTAGCTGACATTCCAAAAAAGGGAAGTAATTAACAGAGTATGTGGTTCTCCTGTGACAACTGAGCCAAATAACAACAAGGAAGTGGTCATGTGTCCTCCCTCTCCCACTCCCAGAGGTGCTATATAAGGGCCCCCCCAGTAGAAGGGACATCAGACCTCCCTCACCTACTGATTATCACTCCTCACCTCTCCTGAGACCTCTCTACTGACACCATGGGGTGTTGTGGCTGTGGTGGCTGTTGTCAACAGAAGTGCTGCTGTCAGCAGAAGTGCTGCTGCAAGAAGCAATGCTGCTGCTAGGCGGGCCTGCTGGCTCTGGACAGGTGCTGCAGGTAACTCCCATTGGTAAGGTGCTTCCTCTTCCTGCCAGTCCTTCATGATTTGAAAGTCACGGAGGTGACAGGAGACTGGTTCTCAGGCTGAGGAATTAAACCCATATCCCTGGGTGTTTGAGTTAGTGCCTCCAAAGGAAAAATGCTAGCACAAACCTTCTCCTCTAGCACCCATCAAAGGGTGAACCGAACCCAACAAAATAGAGTGATTTTAATGCTGTGCTTCCTTGAGATTTTATTCTTGAAATGTTTGTTGCTATTTTCCCCCTCTTTCTGTAGCTTCTCCATCCTGTATCTTTGCTACTATCTTCTGTAGACCTGTCATTTCTTCTCAATAAACCACATCAAATTGGCATCAAAGTCTCATCGTCTCCTTTTATTTCTTATTGGAATGTGTCTCATTGAATGATTCTGTCAAACCCATAAAGTCAGACCCTGAAGTTTGTCTGAGATGGGTTAGGAGTAGTTAATTGGTGATCTGTCTCTAATAGGTTTTCACACACGGTAAAGATTTGGTAGCTTCAACTATCCTCTCACATAAGTCAGAAGGATTCTGGGAACATTGTATCAATGGACTCAGCATTGAATGCCTAAAGCCATGTGTATCTAGTTAGGACTTGGTTATTTTAGTTTGGTTCTATTAAGTTTAAAATCCGATTACAGTTTAATGAGATTTTTTATTCTATTACCTGTATTAGGTAACTGTGTTTTTGGCAGGCTATGGTTAGGAAGAGTTGTGAGTTACTAAAGCACTAACCACTTTGATTATGTTCCATCCCAAGTAAACAAGAACATGAAAATAAAGACGTCATACAACATCTTCGAGTCCCCCTGAGGGTAAAGCCACACACAGAGCACAATGCTGGTGAACTCACTTTCTGAATGCAGTGCCCCCTCCCCCTTTTACATGTTCAATCCCTTAGAATTTCCTACCTCAATCTGTTCCATGTTGAAAGTGAGAGCTGGAGAAAGGGGGGCCCGCTGGCTGCCCCGGGGCTGGGGAAGGTGATTTACCCCCACGGGCTCGTGCCCGCCCCCTCACCCCGGACCACAGACCTCTCCCACCCACAGAGAGTAGCTGCTCCAGAGTGTTGCTTTCAGAGGAAGTGCGGGAGGGGCTGGTGCAGGGCCACACACAGGTAACAGAGGCAAGGACGCTTCCAGAGAGAGGCTGCGAGTGCGAGGGCGTCACCGGACTACGGAGACGCGGGCCCTTCCCGCCTGGCTCGGTCTCTTTTCAGATGTCCCCAGAAGGCGACAGGCGATGGTGCTTGCAGGGTGGGGTGTTACTACTTGTTACTAAATGTTAGCGTCACATAATAAGGGCATCACAGGAGCCGGACAATAATATGAATTAGAGGGATTCACTTTGCTCCAGATCTGGAGATCACCAGCTGCCAGACACTGCTCCGGGCGTGGTGGGATTAGAACAATGAGAGGTGATGGGGGAGTGACCCGTCCGGGTCCCTGGGGCAGAGCGTTCTGCACACTACCCTTTGGGGGAGGGGGGGGCGGTCAGCGAGGGCGCTGGGAGCAGGAAGCTCAGCAAGGTAAACGAAGCAGGTGGGGTAGT